CTTTCCCTATGGTCCTTTTAGAATAAAGAAAAAAAGTGAAATTTCCAATCTGTAAAATGTTAACTGTTAGTTTAAATGTGTATTTATGACTGTAGTTTACATTTGGAAGCTTTTTATTAAAAGCTTGTTGAACACATACAGAAGTAGAGAGACTAGTATAAATAGAGAAAATAATGTAATGTGCCATCCATCTCCAGCAATTACCATACACAGCCATTCTTGTTTCATCTCTATCCCTAGCCAGTCCACTATAATTATGAAGCAAATTTCAGACATCATGTCTTTCCATTTGTAAATATTTCTTTATACATCTTTAAAAAGATAAAGATTCTTTAAAAAATACACATACAATATCATTATCACATCTAAAAATAATTAACAATAATGCCTTAATGTCGAATACTTAATGTCATGTAAACTGGTTGATAAGTCTATGAAGTGTCTTTTTTTTTAAACAAATTGTTATAAGTTTATTTTTTTGTTTAACTTTAAAAGAAAATTTTTGTTGAAATATAGTTGATTTTATGACCTGTCTTTTAATCACTAAGTTTTCCCCTCCACCTCTCTTTCCTTTTTTTTTTTTTTTTTTACAATTTTTTGTTGAAAGAAACAGGGTCATTTGTCTGCAGATTTTTCATTCTGAATTTTGCTGAGAGCATGTTCATGGTGTAGAGTGATTAATACATTCTCCTATTTGTATTTCCTGTCAGTGGAGGTATATATATAGTGTGTGTGTGTTTGTGTATACATAGTGTATGTTTGGTTGTTGTTTCTAAAACATCTAAATTTACTAGAGGAATGCAAGGATTGGTAAGACTGTGTATGTGTGGTTTTTTGACATCAAGCTTACCTTAAAAATAAGCATTTACCCATTTTTATGGCTTTACTGCCCCAAATTTAATTTCTTCAGGACAAAGTTTTTCTTTCTCTGGGGATAAGCAAATCTGAGAAACAATTATTAATAGGAGGAAGGCTAGAGCAGAGGGTATTGAAAGCAGAATTCATCAGCTTTCTCAGAAAACAGTTGTCAGTGTGTTCACTTAGAACACAAACATCACATCTCCTGAGGTAACAAAATGGTGAGTAACATATTCAAAACCTATACTCCAGGTTCTAGTCTAAGCACTTAACATAAATGATTTTCTTTAAGCCTCACAACAAATCACTAAGGTAAGTGCGAAGATTATCCCCATTTTCCAACAAGAAAACTGAAGTGCAGAGATGTTAAGTAACTTATTCCAGGTCACAAAGATACTAAATGTTTTATTGGGACAAAATGGGATTAGTCAGACTACTGGTATTTTATTGGTATAATTAAATATTGTACATTTGATCATGATATACTTAAAGGTATGTCTTATGGTGGAATTTTTTGAAAATCAGATTGTATTTTGTTTTGGTACATGTATAACTGGAAGACCTATAAAATTAAGTTCATATAATGTTATGTTTTCAATTCTAGTTAAGGAAACAATTTCCTGCTATGGCCCTGAAGATTCCTGCCAAGAGAATATTTGGTGATAATTTTGATCCAGGTAAGCAATAACTTCATAGACCAGCCATAAGTGATGGTTGAAGTTTGAAAAAGTAGTTAACATATTAATTGCAGTGTACAGTAGTATAATGTTACAAAGCTAATGGATCTCATGCTCTATGAAAATAATGCCTCAGGAAGGTGCTTACTGTGTACCAGCCGTTGTTTTTAAACACTTTATATGTTTTAATTCATTCAGTCCTCACAACAACCCTTTGAGGTGGGTATTATTATCATCACTATTTTATAGGTAAGGAAACTGAGGCACAGGTTGAATAATTTGCCCAGGGTCGCATACAGCTAGTAAAAGTCAGATTTGGAAGTTAAATTCAAGCAGTCTGGCTTCAGATAAATCTATTGATTATTAAGGATAATGGGCAGTACTTTTCTAACCATGAAACATTTACTAAATGTGTACTCTGTACACGGCACCCTGCAGGCCTCTGAATGGGATACCAAGAAAATGTCCTATTGTTCACCTTTGGGGAGCCTAATGACACGTAGGATCTCAGAAATCTGGAGGCTGTATATATGTCTGAAGCCTCAACTTCAAACTTTTTTTTTTACTAGAATCTAGAAGAAATTAACCCAGTACACAAATGGTGACCTATAGAGAGACAGAAGTCTATCCACCAGAAATTCTATGCGTAAAGTCATCTGTTTATGCCACAGATGGATCCTGACATGCTATCGAGTTTCCTCCCTCCCCACCATCTTACCTCCTCAACTAATCTGCTGGTAACCTTGTGACCCATCAGACCTCTGATTCCATATGTAGGAGCTCTCAAATGGCTTATCTTGCTTCCTCTCTGCAACCTAACCTTATACCATTCCTTTTCCTCCCAGACCTTTTCACTGTACCTTGTGCAGTTCTGCCCATGATGAACAAACTCCTTTATCCTCTTATTTCTTTCACGTTCTTGCTTTAATTAAAACTGAGTTCCCCCCACCCCCGCAGGGTGCTGGAATCCCCTGTAACCCTCTCAGCTGGAGACTCTATTCTTTTACACTTTCTGAACCTCGGGATTGGAGAGGGTTCTCATTTCCCCTGTTCTTTTTCACTTCCCTTATTTTATGTAGATTTTTTTTCTCTTGGGAGAATTTAGCACACTTTATTATTATTGCCAGTTTGTCTTATCAGGCTGTAGATTTTATGAAGGTAGATACTTTATCTTTTTCATTTAATTATAGTGCCTAGTAAATATTAGATTCGCAATAAATGTTTCTTGAATACATGAATCCATTAATAAAGAGACAATTGAGTTGGCACAGCAAAGCCAGTTACACATTCCATGGATTGATTCTATAGGCCAGTGGCTTTTGTATTCTTGTTCTCTTGTTTTGTTTTTAGCTGTAGAACACTTTTTTCCTAGTGAAATCTGATGCAGAAAAATGTAATGTGTAGAACAAATAAAAACGGAGCTGCTTTGTTGGTGTAGCAGTGAAGTATGTCTGTGGAGCATAGGTTGAAAAACATCGTGAGGGCAACATGGGGGCCTTAGAGATACTTGAGCGAAGTGGTGACATGATGTGAAACCAGCAGTGTATAATGTATAGTAGGCACAGTAGAGGGAAGACGAGATAGAGACTGGGAGGCTGGTTAAGGGAATATTCCAGGAGTCCTCAAATTAGGTGATGAGAGCTGCAACTCAGGTGGAAGTGGGGCTAAAAATTGAGCCACGTGTAGGAAATCTTTTAATGAAAAATCTGTAAGAAATCTTGGTGATTGCTTAGGTAAAGGAGACATAGAGAAGAGAATCAGAGATAACTGAAGTGTCAGGCCTGGGTGAATGAGAGAATTAATTAATTTGAAGTGACAGAAAGACATTTAAGAGGACTCAAACTACATGTTAGTGATTAACATGAGGCTTGAACTTGGGTTAGAGTTCTGTGGAGCCCTTAGTTAAACCCTAAAGTCAGAATCATTTTCTCCAGGGAAGAAGGCAAAGAGATAAAGACCTGCAACATTGCTACTTCATGGTTAAAGGCAAAATACCAGACAGTGCCCTGTGGTATTTATGTTTGGTAGATTAATTATTTGATACTAAAAATTGGTTTTTATTGAAGAACATTTTGAAATCAATCCTGAGCATGTTGTATATGACTTGGCAACAGTGAAGTAGACTATGTTATAGATTTTTGGAAAACCTTTCATTGGGGCGATCAAATCTAAGTCATACTCAACAAACCAAAGATTGGTAGGATGTTCATTTTATTAGGCTTTGGCTAAACAGACATTCTCATATTTTGCTGGTGGGAATACAAAGTTGTACAAACCTTATGAAATTTGGTAATATTTAGCAAAACTATATATGCATTTCCCTTTGACCAAGAAATCACATTTCTAGGGATCTATTCTAAAGATAAACTGCATCGGAAATGATGTATGTATGTACAAGACTTTATTGTGATGCTGTTTTTCATAGCAAAAACTTGGAAACAACTGAAATATCCTTCCAGTATTGGAATATGATACAGCTGTAAAAAGGAACGAAAAAGCTCATTGTGCATTACTGTGGAGTGATCTCCAGAATACCTGGTTAAGTGGAAAAAACAAGGTGTGGATGTGGGCAATGTATATTTTTTGTGTAGGAAAGGATGTGAAGATTCAAAAGGAAATAATGGAAGAATAAACCAAAAACTAAAAGCTGATGACTTTAAGGAGGGAGAGGCCAACTGGAGACTACAGAGGTGGATGTTAGACCTCCCTGGATGAATCTTGTACACAGCTTTGCATATTTTAAACAATTTAAAAACAAAAACAAATGCAACAATATTGAAGTCACTAACAACTGAAAATAAACAAGGAAAAGATATAACTATATTCTGATTGGTGGTGAAACACATGGAGAATAATTACTTTAAATGACTTTAAAACATGGAAACGCAGCTTTGTATTCCTCATGGCAAAAAAAGAAGTGTACAAAGAAATTTTATCCTGCATTCAATAGTCTCATTGATAATATAGAGTTATTTTGTAATTATGTTAATGTCATGAGAACCAAAATTTTAAGCAGAAGATGAAAGAGACACAAATATAAAATCAAAGATTTTAAGTAAAAAATCCTGTAATTTTAAACTTGGGAATACAGTATGAAATCATGATTTATTTTTCTCTTTCTAAAACAATACATATTTTCCAGTGCTCTCCACTGGAAATGCCTGAAAACAATAACAAATAAGTAGCAGCAAACACTCTTAGCATCCAGGTTGTAATCTCTAAATACCATTTCCCCCTTAAAGGGACCACAGTTCATGGCAATTCCAGGTGCTGGGCAAGAAATGTACAAGATGGTCCTAGGATATCTTGCCTGAAAGCAAAGAAGCTATACAAGAATACTGAGGTTTTATCGAAAGGACACAGGAGCCCAATTAATGGGGCTTTCACTGGCCAAAGATGGGACAGTTAGAGCGTGAAGAAAGGAATTGTCCTTTTAATTTCACCTCGTGTTTGACAGCTACCATATAGAGTTTTTCCATACGTCTTTCTGAGTTTTTATGCTGCAGCTTCTAAGTCCATGTGTGTCATTTTCTTTTCTTTTTTTTCCCACTTTATGTTGGTGGTTACCAACCTCTGTAAGATAAGTTTTACATTCTTAAGGCAGATTTTAAGGGTTATTTCTGCCTATACTTTACTTTTTTTTTTTTTTTTGCGGTACGCGGGCCTCTCACTGCTGCGGCCTCTCCCGTCGCGGAGCACAGGCTCCGGACACGTAGGCCCAGCGGCCATGGCCCACGGGCCCAGCCCCTCCGCGGCACGCGGGATCCTTCCGGACCGGGGCACGAACCTGCGTCCCCCGCATCGGCAGGCGGACTCCCAACCACTGCGCCACCAGGGAAGCCCTCTGCCTATACTTTTCAAAGTTAAAATTTCATTTTGAATTTAAGGATCTTTCTGTAGAGTATACATAGAATTAGCTATATTTCTATATTCTAAATAGTTTAATATCAAACCTTTTGCTTATAGGATCTTGGAATCAATATATAAATTATGTTTTTTTGGTAGTTTTAAAAACAAAACAAGATTATCTTTACTACTGAAAAATAAAATTACAAAGTAACAAAACAGTTGAGTTAAATAAGGGATGGGGCATATGAAATTTGTAGACTGTGAATGCTAGAATGTGTAATCATTTGTTTGATATTTTTTTTATTCATTCACAAACATCAGTTAAGTACATTCCAAGACACTGTGTTAAGGGCTGAAGTTAGGAAAAAAATTTTACAGGCATGATGCTAGCCTTCAATGACTTACATAGAAAATCACTTTTATTTCTCAATTTTAACTTCTGCTATTTGAAGAGAAATCGATTTATACAAAATAAAAACCTATTTTTAGCAGCAGAGTTTTGGTAGTACTCAACCAGTTAATCACCATTTCCAGTTGCAAGGATTTCAGTATTTCTTGGTTTCGTTTGTTTTTTGTTTTTAAGTTAGCATGGTTTTTCAGCCACCAGTGTCATAGTGTTAATTCTTATTCATTACCTGGTAGTACACGAGGAGTTGGACAAAGCAAAGTGTCTCCACGTTTTGTAGTGAGTCTGTTTAGAACCTAAAATAGGCATTTTTTTGGAGCATTTTCTTTTGGGGAATATGTTACCTGCTTTATTTTATTTATTTATTTATTTATTTATTTTTGGCTACGTTGGGTCTTCGTTGCTGCGCACGTAGTTGCGGTGAGCCGGGGCTGCTCTTTGTTGCGGTTCACGGGCTTCTCATTGCGGTGGCTTCTCTTGTTGCAGAGCATGGGCTCTGTGTACACAGCCTTCAGTAGCTGTGGCACACGGGCTCAGTAGTTGTGGCTTGCAGGCTCTAGAGCGTAGGCTCAGTAGTTGTGACGCATGGGCTTAGTTGCCCCGTGGCATGTGGGATCTTCCCGGACCAGGGCTCGAACCCATGTCCCCTGCATTGGCAGGAGGATTCTTAACCACTGCGCCACCGGGGAAGTCCTACCTGCTTTATTTTAATTTTATAATCATTGTATTTACAGATTAAAAAATATATATATTTGTAAGTTTTCCTTATTGTATATCAAGAAGCATGAATTAAGAAATAACTTCTTAATCAAAATTCACTACCTTGTCTATTCTTGTATAACTGTATTGATGATAATTACAGTCTGATATAAATAATCATAATAGTATTGTCTCTCAACAGATTTTATTAAACAGAGAAGAGCGGGACTGAATGAATTCATTCAGAACTTAGTTAGGCATCCAGAACTTTACAACCAGTAAGTAATTTTCATTGTGTTCTAAGGAGGCGCTGAAACCCAACCTAAGACTATTGAATAAGCTACTGATACAGGTTTTATATATTCTGTGGAATATTATTGTGCTGTATATTTTTGTGAAATCTTCCTCAAGAATTTTTCCTCTGGTATTCTTAATCTTCTTTTCTCTTCATCAACTCAAGGCCCTAGTTATTTTCTTTCTTCCTATTGTACTTGTATTTTTTTTGTAGATTAAACTTGAAAGGAATTTGCACAGTTAAAACATTTTGCTAATTATTTGATGTTATATTTATTCGTGCATTGAGAAAGCATTTCTTATGTACTTCTGTGTGCATTGGGAATAAAAAGAGAAATTAGTGTTATCCTTACCTTCCAGAGGCATAGGCTTCCAGGTAAGTGGGAGAAACAGGTGTAGAAACAAGCAATTAAAGCAAAGAAAGTTTTATGATAAAAGTCTGGAAGACAACAGAGGAAAACGTGGCCAACCCTTCTTGGGGTGGGTGGGTGTCAAGGGAGGCTTCCTGGAACTTAAAGGATGTGCAGTCTTTCAAGAAAAAAGCTAGGGAGAGCATTCTAGGCCAAGGGAGCAGTGCTTGTAACAGAATCTACAAAGAGCCTGCAATTGTTCAGGATGCTCACGTATTAACATTTCACGGTGACTGGAACACAGAGTAAGTTTACGGAAAGGAGATGAAGGTGAAGGAGTTGGCGAGGGCCAGGCACACTTGCTACCACTTCTTGTGTGACCTGGGTCAGCGTTCTCTCATCCCAGACAAGGCCTCCAGGCCTTCTCAGCACAACCTTCCAGGCAGCCACTTAACATGAGGGCATTTTCCCAGCCCTGTGTGTGTCTGGTAGGCCAGCAGCTCCTGTGAAGGCAGAAGGGTGGGTCATATCAGAAATACCTAGGAAGGTATAGGTAGATCCATGGTTTGACATGTATTTTCATTGAGTCTGGTAATTGGTTCATTGGTGTTCATTATGTTTATTGTGATTTGTTATGTGCATGTATGTTACTTACATTGTTTAGTATGTATAAAGTATTAACATTCTAAGAAGAATAAAGAGGACCAAGGAGAATATCCGGGGAGCGTTTCTGCAGCTCTCCTGTCTGGGTAGATGTAAAGGCTGCCTGTGGACATTGATGCAGACATGACACCTTTTAACAGTCTTTTCAGAATCACAACACCGAAGGACTGTATTTTTAGCAATTGTCCTCAGAACGGTTATTACCATTTTATAGTTCTTTATAGTTTATAGAGGGCTTCTGTCTTCTGAGCAGGTGCTCTGACCTTTTTTAACTTAATTTACTAAATTAGTAAAATACTGGAGCTGGACTTCCTCTGACCAAGGTCTTCTGCCCAGTGCTCTGGGTTTCATTTCCCCTGATGCTCACAGATAGGACGAGGGTCACGGGGAGGTCCAGCACCTGCTGTAGCTCTGGGATTAGCCCCTGCAAAGGGGAGCAGCCGACTTTCCACTCAGAGCCCCCAACAGGTGGTGGAGGAGCACAGAATTGGGCAGGATCCTTGAACTCAGGGTTCCTGTGTCTGGTGTGTTCCTTAGCAAAGAGCCTGTTATTACTTGGCTCTTGCCCTGTATAATTATTTTTTAAACATTATGTCTTTTCCCTAGGACAAATTCTGTGTTATCTTCAGCTTAGATCTACCCTTCTAATGTTTAACTCTTGTTATATGCACTTGAGATTACTTCGAATTGGCATATTACTGGCTTGTTTGAAATTCGTACATTGAGAGCTTGAATTTGTTTCATTCTTTGACAGAGCCTCAAATAGAATAAGTGTGGAATAAATGGCGGTGGTGTTTATTATTTTTCCTGGTATTTTGAACAGTGTTACTCAGAACCTCTGACAGTATATGTTAAATTCTAAGTATTCATTTTGGATCTAGAAGTGTAGTATTATAAGTAGTATTATAAAGATGTTATATTTGGTATTGAAATTTAACTAAAACCAATTTGATTATTTTAACATCATACTATAAAATACACAGCTTTTAAGTATACTACCTAATAGATTTTTACATACGTATGCCCCTTGTAACTACCACTATTCCGTTTAAGGTAGAGGACATTTTTCAACACCCCAAGGTAAATAGCCAAGAGGTTTTTTTTTTCAACTTAATGTTTAACTGACATTTTCTTTTTAATAAAAAGTGACATTTCACATTTTCTGGATCTCATCTGTTAATGGAACTTTGTTAATTTTCACACTCTTCATTTGAACATCAAACGGTTTATAAAATAGTACAGATTTAAGAGAGTAAGAGGAGAAGCCAATCAGCAAGTTTATCTTGAACACCATCTATGTGTCTTTTCCTATTATGTGTGGGATATGTTCTTCAAAAATAGCTTTACTTCAATAGAGAGAAGGTTATTTTTAAGATAACTTATTAAAATTGAATTTAAAATCATTTAAAAACTCAAACAAAATATATTATTTCTCTGACCTTTGGATAGAAAAGGGTTTTCTGAGGATATTCGTAGTGAATGATGTATTACAAAATAAAATAATGACAAATTTGATTAATAAAAACTTTTGACCTCCAAAAATTACAAGTGAAATTAAAAACCAAAAATATAAAAAGTTTCCCATGATAAAGGACAGTAGATAAATATACTTAATAAAAGAGCTCATGCAGATAATACAGACTTAAGGCACCAAAAAAAAAACAAAACAAAGCAAAACACATTAACAGTTTACAAAAGAGGAGATGCAAATGGCTGATTAATTACCAGAGAAGCTGAACATTTCTTTACTATTTAAGAAATGCAGATGAAGCAAAAACACCTTATTTTAGCTTCATTGCATTATAACACATATAGAAAAGAACACAAATCATGATTATACAGCTTAATGAATTATGAGAAAATGAATACATCTGAGTATCCCCCCTCTCCACCCCAGGCCAAGGAATAGAACATTGCCAGCACCGCTGCAGCCCCTCACATGCCTCTTCTCAATGTCTGTTCCTTCCCAAAGGTCATTACTCTCCTGATTTTTAGCAGCATATATTAATGTGCCCTGTTTCTGAACTTTATATAAATAGAATCATATATTACATGGTCTATATCTGGCTTGTTTTCAACAATTGAGAGTCACCAGTGTTACTGCATATAGGTATACAGTAGTTTGTTCGTTTCCATTGCTGTATAATACCCCATTGCATGAATATACCACAATTCTGCTGATCGACGTTTTGAGTTATTTCTGTTTTCTGGCTCTAATGAGTAATGTTGACATTAACATATCTTTTGCTGCACATGTGCAAGCATTTCTGATGTATCTTTGAGTAGAATTTTTGGTTGTAGAGTATGTATATGTTTAATCTTAGTGGATAATGCTAAATAGTTTCCCAAAGTGATTGTACCAATTTCCACTTCCACCATCGGTGTACAAGATCACATGGGTCACCTCACCAACACTTAGTATCATTAGTCTTTTCAATTTTAGCCATTCTGGTGAGTGGGTAGTGGTATCTTATTGTTGCTTTAATTTGCATTTCACTAATTACTAATATAATTGAGTTCCGTCTCTTTAAAATACTATTTTTCACTTACCAGACTATGAGAGATGCTAATATAAAGTAACATTTAATCAAGGCTGGAGAAAGTCTTCAGGATGTTCATGTATTGCTAGGAGAGTAGAAATTGGTACAGCCTCTCTGGAAATTAGCTTAACAAACTACTTAAAGCTGAAAAATGGTTTATAGTTCAGAGCAAATACTTTTCTTTTTAAAAATCTGTAGTGAAAATCGTAAATGCAGTTCCAGTGTTGTGCACAGTGATTGTCACTTGCAGCATTATTTAAAGTAGTGAAAGCTGTACAGTCAAAAGCTGGAAGCCATATATATACATATATATATATATATATATATATATATATACACACATAATATATATATAAAATATATATATTATGTATATATATATGTATATATATCCTAAAGTGAAAGAACCACTGAGTAACTTTTAGTGTGTCCTAATAGCATCATACATCTATCAAAAGTGATTGCTAACAAAGAATTTTTAACCACATGGCAAAGTCCTTTTGATGTATCGAATACATTGTATTTTTAGTTGAAAAACAGTAAAATAAAATATTTAAAATATAGCATGATCTTAACTGTGCAGAGAAAAAACAAATACAGTAGGGGTGTTAAGAATGAAGATTCCCACCTTAAAATTTTTTTTTTGAAATAAAATGCACATAACATAAATTTCACCATTTTATCTATTTTTGAAGTGTACAATTCAGTAGTTTTTAGTATACTTGCAATGCTGTACAACCACATCACTATCTCATTCTATCACCCAAGTCTAAGCTAACATTAACATCAACCCAAAAAGAAATTATATTTTCTAATTTCCCCTTTCCCCCAACCCTTGGCGACCACTAATCTACTTTCTGTTTTTATGGATTTGCCTGTTATGGGGATTTCATACAAATGGAATCATACAGTTTTAAATCTTCCTTTGTTCATTTAGCATAATGTTTTTGAAGTTCATTCATATTGTAGCATGTATCAGTACTTCATTTGTTTTCATAGTTGAATAATATTCCATTATATGGATATGCCACATTTTGTTTGTCCATTCATCCACTTTTTTTTTTTTTTTTTTTTTGCGGTACGCAGGCCTCTCACTGCTGTGGCCTCTTATGCTGCAGAGCACAGGCTCCGGACAAGCAGGCCCAGTGGCCACGGCTCACGGGCCCAGCCGCTCCGCAGCATGTGGGATCCCCCCAGACCGGGGCACGAACCCGCGTCCCCTGCAATGGCAGGCGGACTCTCAACCACTGCGCCACCAGGGAAGCCCCCATCCACTTTCTGACTATCATAAATAATGCTGTGTGTGTGTGAGCTTTTGTGTGCACATATGTTTTTATTTCTTTTTGTGTGCACATATGTTTTTATTTCTTTTTGTGTGCACATATGTTTTATTTCTTTTGAAGAGTGGAATTGCTGGGTCATACAGTAACGGTGTATAGCTTTTCAAAGAACCACCTGTTTTCTACACTGGCTGTACCATTTTACATTCCCACCAGCCCCTCCCCTTTTTAAAAACTATTTTTTATCTTCCTGAATTTCTTACAATTTATTATTATATAAATTGTATATTATTTGTATTTAATTATTAAGAACAATTTTGGGAATCTTGCCATTTGTGACAACGTGGATGGACATTGATGGCATTGTGCTAAGTGAAATAAGTCAGAGGAAGACAAGTACTGCATGAACTCACTTATATGTGAAATCTTAAACCCAGATTCATAATCATTGATACAAAGAACAGATTGGTGGTTGCCAGAGGTGGGGGGTAGGCGAAATGGGTGAAGGTGGTCAAAAGGTATAAACTTTCAGTTATAAAATAAATAAGTCATCAGATGTAATGTGCAGCATGGGGACTGTGGTAGCGTATTTGAACGTAGCTAAGAGAGTAGATTAAAAGTTCTCATCACACACAAAAAGTGTGTAACTGTGTGGTGATGGATGTTAACTAGACTTACTGTGGTCATCGTTTCGCAATGTATACAAGTATAGAAGCATTATGTTGTACACCTGGAACTGATACAGTGTTATATGTCAATTATATCTCAAGTTTTTTTAAACCATTTTTTTAAGTTGAAGTATAGTTAATTTACACTGTTGTGTTAGTTTCAGGTATATAGCAAAGTGGTTCACTTACACATATATATATTCTTTTTCAGATTCTTTCCCATTATAGGTTATTACAGGATATTGACTATATAGTTCCTTGTGCTATACAGTAGGTCCTTGTTTATTTTATATATAGTGGTGTGTATATGTTAATCCCAAACAGTATGGAGGTGTCTTAAAAATAGAGCTACCATATGATCTTGCAGTCTCAATCCTGGGCATATATCTGGAGAAAACTCTAATTCGAAAAGATACATGCACCCAAGTGTTCATAGTGGCACTATTTACAATACCAAGACATGGAAGCAACCTAAATGTCCATGGACAGACGAATGGATAAAGAAGATATGATGTATATATAATAGAATATTATTTGTCCATAAAAAAGAATGAAATAATGCCACTTGCAGCAACATGGGTGGACCTAGACATTATCATGTTAAGTGAAGTAAGTCAGACTGAGAAAGACAAATATCATAATGATATAATTTATATGTGGAATCTAAAAAAAAATGGTACAAACAAAATTATTTGGAAAACAGAAATAGACTCACAGACATAGAAAACAAACTTATGTTTACCAAAGGGGATAGCAGCAGGGCAGGGGGCAGGGGAAGGATAAATTAGGATTTTGGGATTAACACATCTCAACTTTTAAAAAAGAAAAAAAAAAATTTGGGAGGAGGTACCGCAGATACAGAGATTTAATCATTCCTCAGGATTGTCATTAGTCCATGCAAGGCCCCTCTTTTATTTTAGTCCATTTTTTCCCTCTTCGTACCCATTTCTTCATCCCCACTGGTGATGCCCGCTTCAACATGTTTGTTATATGTCTTTGGTTATCTATTTATCGACTGTTGCTTTGTGTCTGTGAGTGTTTAATATATACACGTAAATGGTGCTGTGCTGTGCTGTGGTTCCTAGTTTCTGATCGCTGACTGCTGTTTTCTGCAGGCAGTTACCATAGCTTGCTTACTCATTTCCCTAGTGGTAGATGGCTGTTTTGCTTCTGATTCAGAGCTATAGAGAATATTGCAGTGAGTATCCTAGTTACATGTCTTTCACTGAACCTGTACATAATTTTTTTGTTTGTGTGGTTTATTCTTAGAACTGAAATTTCTGGCCTCAGGGAAAATGCATACTCAGTTTAACCAAATATTGCCAAATTGCTTTTCAGAAAAGTTGCCTCATTTTACATTCTCACCGGCAATACATGAGGGTGTTCCTTTCCCTGTATCCCTACCAACTTTTGGTATTATGTGTCTTTCTAAATTTTGCTGGCTAGTGGACATAATTTCTCACTGTTGTTTTAATTTGTTTTTTTGTGATTATTAGTGAAGTTAGGTGTCTTCATAAATTTCCTTACCATTTGGGTTTTCTATTCTGTGAACCGACTGTTGATACCTTTGCCCATTTGTTTATTGGATTCCCTATTTTTAAACTTAATTTGCTTATTCCTTTTTTAATAATGATTATTAATGGATTTTGTTTGACTTTCTTACTGTAAATGCTGCTATAGTTACTTTTATTTTCATGTTAAAAGGGAGAAAAGCTGTAGAAATGCAAAGTCATAATAAAGTTAATTTTTGTTTTTAGTCCAGATGTCAGAACATTCCTTCAAATGGACAGTCCAAAACATCAGTCAGATCCATCTGAAGATGAGGATGAAAGAAGTACTCAGAAGGTAGTAAGAGGAATTGTATTTTTTAACAGAAAAAAATACCATTCCCCAGAGATGAAATTATTGGCAACTTTAGGACCACATTTACTTAAAACAAAGTAATTTCATCCATTGTAGATTTTCTACTCTGTAGAGTACATAAAAACAAATGTGTATACCTCTTACTTATCACTATTTCTTATAAAATTGATAAAATGAGTGCTTTTTATAATAAAAAGTAATACATGTTAATTAAAGAAAAATTTGAAAATAATTTAGAAGTATTACCCATATTATCAGCAACCAGACCTAGTAATTTTTAACGTTTTCATGATTTTCTTTCTTATCTTCTCTAATATGTGGAAATTTTTTAAATTACCTAACTTTAATTATACAATATATAAAGTTTTGTGTTCTGCTTTCTTCGCTTTACCTCTTACTTTTTGATCATCATATATCTTCATCATGATTATCACCATTGCAATTGTTGTTTTGAATTTTGGCCAGCAGGAAAGGCCTTTTCAACCAGAATATTACATACCTCTTCCTCTGCATTGTCAGGTTTTGAGATGTAGAGCAATCAATATACATGTGCTGGTTGGTATCAACTAACTTTTATTGCTGTAGTTATATGTACATAATCAATACGTTTTCCGAAGAGAATAAAGAATAGGATATTCTTGTTTTTTTAATTAATTTTGATAAATATCGTCAGCTTGTGCCTTCTTATGAAGATATTTTCAACATTTACTTTAGAAAGTTATGTCAGAAAGGTAAATTACAATAACTTAACTCAGGATTATTATGTAGCAATTAAAAGTATAATTACAAGTGTTATATAAATATAATACCTTTATAATTTAAAATTGACTAATACTATTGTTAAATATATACATGAAAATCAGAGATGTACGTTTTTGTCTTTATAATGTCTTTTAATTTTGTCATGATTCTGTTTTTGTGATTTAAAAGGTAATGTCATGAGTTGAAACATTACTGTCCCACAGCTAAAAATCTTCATTTGAAAAATAGATGTGACTACTGGAAAGTAGTGGTTTTCTTTCTCTGATGCTCTAAGAGGGTTCTCAATTAAGAGAACAGATTTAACTCTTAACGTCTGTGACATGGTTGCTCTTAGGACAATAAAAGGATATTTTAGTTTTATATCTGTGCAGTCGGTCAAAAGAGAAACCACAAGCTGGGAAAACATGTAACAAAGTATAAGAAGGAATAATGTCTATGTAAAAAAAGCTCATACATATGGATTTTTGAAAAGAATGATATTTAGGACCCTAGTAGATAAAAGGAAAAGGGACATGAAGAAATACTCTTAGTAAACAGATATATGGGAAAATGTTCAACCTTGATGCCAGTAGCAAATGAAAGTTTTAAATGAGAGGTTTTTTAATCTGCCAAATTAACAAAAATGTAAAGTAAATAAAATACGCCAGGACTGATAAGGGTAAGGTAAAATGGGCATCCTTGGGCATTACTGGTGTTAAAATGTATGCAGCTCTTTTGGAAAGCAATTTGGCAACATGTATCAAGCATGAAAGTAATTCATGTCACTTAGGAGTTGATGCAAATGCAATAACCCTTCACAGAAAAGAACAAAGATGTTCATTTTAGTATGATTTATAATGAAAAGTTAGAATCAGTTTGAATAGTCATCAGTCAAATAGTGGTTGTCCCTATATATTGTACATTTAAAAAATATTTCTAAAGATGATAATATTTAAAGTTTTGACATACCATTAAATAAAATCAGGGTTTAAAACTTTTTATGCAGACTTACACAGTGTGATCACAGTTTTTTGAAGTTATGCAAAGACTATATGAAAGTACTATAAATAGTTGTAAATCGTCTGTTGGTAAGGTTATGGATTTTTAAAAACATCTTAATCAAAAAATATTTTAAAGAGTAAAATTTATGTAACCGTGATTTTCCATGTTTTGTTTGTTAATCACGTAGAGAGTATGTAGGTTTAAATCATGTAAAGAATGTCTTGCCTTGCTGTAGGAGAATGGTTTTTGAAGAAAGAACCAGACTAAGAGAAATTCCTGGGTTCTGGCTCCTCTTCTCCCACTGTTGACTTTCGATCTAAATTTTGTTTCTCGTTTCATCCATAAAATCTGGAACTTAGACTAGGATCTTTTCCTGTTTTAAAATACTGATTAAAAATAACCTTTTCAAAAAAAAGAAAGAGCCATATTTCATCTTACAGTTATAACTATTTATTTTTATTATTTTTTAAATTAAAATTTCTAAGAACTGCATCAGTTTTATTTTTATTTATTTTTTCTTCCAGTTTTAATGAGGTATAATTGACATACATCACTGGCATAAGTTTAGGGTGTACAGCATTATGATCTGACTTACATACATCATGCAATAATCACCACAGTAAGTTTAGTGAATATCTATTGATATTTCTCATATAGATACAAAATTAAAGAAATAGAAAAAAATGTTTTCCCTGTGATGAGAACTCAGGATTTATTCTCTTAACAACTTTCATATGTAACATACACAGTGTTAATTATATCTATCATGTTGTACATTACATCCCTAGTACTTATTTTCTTACAACTGGAAGTTTGTACCGTTTGACTGCTTTCATCCAGTTCCTTCACTCCCCGCACCCCAATTGTAACTTTTTTTTTTTTGCTGTACATGGGCCTCTCACTGTTGTGGCCTCTCCCGTTGTGAAGCACAGGCTCCGGACGCGCAGGCTCAGCGGCCATGGCCCACGGGCCCAGCTGCTCCGCGGCATGTGGGATCCTCCCGGACCGGGACACGAACCCGTGTGCCCTGCATTGGCAGGCGGACTCTCAACCACTGCGCCACCAGGGAAGCCCCAGTTGTAACTATTTATTAAGGACTTCTGAGTGGATAATCAAATGAATTTAATAGCTGGAAAATATCTTGGAAGGCATCTGGACCTTCTTATTTATAGAGAAAAAAACAGAGGCCAAGAGAAGTCAAGAAACTTATTCTCTTAATGTTCATTCTGGTAAGAAATATACCTCAACTTCAGTTTAGTGATTAGATGTAATCTTTAAAAATAATAGGTAGAGGGGCTTCCCTGGTGGCGCAGTGTATTCTGGAGATTGTCTATAAGATTGTCTATAAGTTACAAATGAATTTAAATGGGAATATATATGACATATGTCTCTAATAAGAAATTGCTTAGAGGGCTTCCCTGGTGGCGCAGTGGTTGAGAGTCCGCCTGCCGATGCAGGGGACGCAGGTTCGTGCCCCGGTCCGGGAAGATCCCACATGCCGCGGAGCGGCTGGGCCCGTGAGCCATGGCCACTGAGCCTGCATTTGTTGATTCTGATGAACTTAAAGAGATGTTTTTAAAAGCTTACTTCATATCTATAGCTTATATGAAGTATAATTATATAGAGCTCTAGTAAAAGTGTACATATTTGAGACATCTCTGATTTAATTCTCTGAATGTATAAAGAATTTCATAGTGAATTTATGTGCAGAAGAATTCACTTACAGTTGGCTTTTGTGAGAAGTGCTCACTGTAGAAGGATCACTAGATTAATCTTTTGGGATTTTGAGTTAAATTTCTAGTTGATTATTAGTGAGCTAGAATTTTAGTTAAATTGCTTTATGGTATACTAGGTGAGTAAAGATTTGCTTCTACGTTAATAACAGGGATTAAATTTACTTTGTTAACTGTTGTAAAGAGAAAAGGCTATCTAAAAATTTGATACTATCACAATGGTGGAATTAGGAAGAAAAGCACTCCTGGTTTTATGTATTTGCTTTAGAAATAAGTTTACTTCCTCTCAAATTAAAACTTTAATCCAGCATTTGCAGTCTTAATCATCATCATACTATCATTTCCCATCTTTAATAATAGCTTATTAAAAGTATTTGAAAATTTAAAAACAAAAGCTATTTTTAACCAATTTTTTTAATGTAAAAAGTGATTCCTCTTCAGTTGTGGTTTCAATGCCCAGCTCTTCCAAAGAGCTTTCCCCAGTTTACTTCATTCATTTGCCAACTTTTACCTTGATTTCTGCTTTACCTTTTTCCTAACAACTGCTCTTGAAATTTATCATTAAAATGATTATGTTTATATTGATTGTGTATCTTTCCAAAAGTCTGTACATTTATTAAGCATTAGGGCTTTAGGTTTCTTTAACATGGCAAATATCTGTGGTATGGTTATGTGTATTTCATTTCAAAAATATCCATTAACCAATAACTTAAGATGCTCCAGTAAGAATGTTAAATTCTTTTTTTTTTTTCCATCCCAACAGCTACACTCTACCTCACAGAACGTTAACCTGGGACCATCTGGAAATCCTCAGTAGGTTTAATTTGTTTCAAACAATCTCACTGGATTTGAGGAAGATTTTTTGCAAATGTGCAGATGTACATAATTATACCAGTTTAACTGGAAGCCTGTGAAATAGAACTATAGTTACAGTGAATATAGTACTGTCGTACGCTTGCCTAATTTACTGCTCTAGCTTCTCCTTGTTTTAGTAGAGCTCCGAGGACTTTTTTTTTTTTTTGTGGTACGTGGGCCTCTCACTATTGTGGCCTTTCCCATCGCGGAGCACAGGCTCTGGACGCGCAGGCTCAGCGGCCATGGCTCACAGGCCTAGCCGCTCCGCGTCATGTGGGATCTTCCCAGACCGGGGCATGAACCCGTGTCCCCTGCATCTGCAGGCGGACTCTCAACCACTGCACCACCAGGGAAGCCCCTCCGAGGACTTTTTAATCCACAGATTGTTGAATTGGGTTCGGCTATTTTGCCACTGTTACTTTCCTGGTGTGTGTGTGTGGGGACCATAAGTCCTGGGAGGTGCCTGGGAAGTACTCTGGCAAAAGCATCCATGGAGGCCAAATTGATATTCTCTTGGTGCTCAGTGTCACAACTCCAACCCTAGTTGTTAGCCAGCTTGTTCCAGAGGAGTCTTGATGGAAATTAGCATATGAAAGGCTATTAAATTTTCTTTATCCAGTTTCTCCCATAGTCCCATATTTACTTGAGCAGAGGGGAAACATTTTGAGGAACATCAGGAGTGACAAATGTGGACTTCATCTTAAGTGTCAACTCCAGCAGTTCGCTGGAGTACAAAGAAGGAGTCCAAGGCTACTTCTTGGCTCAGTTTGAGGAGTGCCCTGACAGATGAGTGATAACTGCTGTGGGTTGGAAGAGGAATGTATTGTTGCTATCCTTACTTGTAATTATCTTTACAGGCTTATTGGACTAATTCTGAAGTATTCTATCTTTTATCACAGGACACTGTGCTTCCTCTTACCCTTTTGGTCCACAAAAGTATAGACAGGAGAAATGGTAAAGGAGACTAAGAAAGAATTAGTAAGGTAGGAAAACCAGGAATGTGGTGTCACAAAAGCAGGTGAAGAAAGGGAGTAAATAACTCTGTTGATGTTGCTCATGGAGCAGGTAAGATGAAGATTGAGAATGGACCACTGATAGGTCATTGGTGACCTCTGTGAGCAGTTTCAGTGGTGCGGTGGGTAGAAGACTGACCGGAAAGGGTTCAGGAGAGAAATAGGAGGAGGTATAGGAGGTATCGACAGTGAGTTTAGACAACTTACTTGATGGGTTTGCTGCAAAGGACAGCAAAGAAACGGGATGGTAACTGGAAGAGGAAATTTGGTTTTGAGCATCTTTTCTATCATTATTGCATTGAGCTTGTCAGGCAGCACAAAATGGAAGTTTGCTTTCAATTAGGGTTCATCACCAACAGTTAACAGTGGGGCCTTGGGTATGGCCTCGGTTGGCGTGTTTACTGTTTGAGGGATTTGCATGTTTTTTCACTATTACGTTCGTTCAAAAAATTATTTCAGTATTTCAGCATATCATTAAAGAACAAAATAACTAGTCCAAAGAGCAGGTTCTTGAAGAAGAAAAACATCTAAGCTTAGTTAAGTATTTATCTCCCTAATCTTGACCTGTTATTATTTAACCCAGACCTGGTGTTACTCTTATGTTTGAATTGACTATTTCTTTCAATAATGAATTGAAGGACGTTTAAAATCTAAATGGAGTCATTTCACTTTCCCTAGTACAACTTAGGAATTCATACCACGTTAAAGAAAACAGCTCTTCTGGCTGCTTAAGTTCATGCTTTTGCCTATATACAGCCAATGCTCTTTTTACCTGAGGTGAAAATAAATAACCTTCTGCCTTCTCTACATTACCATCTATGAGAATAAGTAGAGTTCTTTTATCTTTAACATACAAGTGATACGTATGCAAAACACTGTGATGACTTTTTTCTCCATCAGAAAATCTTCTTAGTGATTTGACTAGGTATTCCACCTAGTAACTTCCTTTTCAGAATAATTACCAGACACTTAGTCCTTGCAATGTATCACTAATTTATATAGTTACTCAGTTTCCTCATTAAGAGCATTGGTGAGGTGTATGGTTAATAAAAGTGGTTTGCTACCCTGGGTTCAAAACAATAGAGAAATGATAGATAGATAGATAGATAGATAGATAGATAGATAGATAGAAAGATCTTTTTCTCCCAAAGAGACTATTATTGAAGTCCTTCTTAAACCAAACTTAACAAGGCTTAAATAAAATTATAAAATGTCTTATCTAATCAGAAAGTAGATATTATTACCGTTCATTATTACCTGTTTTATATTAAAGATGAGATACTACCACTGTGAAAGCTGGAGTTATCATGCTGAAGTGTACCCAAGATTTACCTATTAAAGAGTGAGGTGCTAAAAAATGTTGAAAAGTTAACATCTTTCCATTTCTAGGAGGCTAATTCTTGTCATTGTTCATTTATTTCAGTGCTAAACCAACAGACTTTGATTTCTTAAAAGTTATTGGAAAAGGCAGTTTTGGCAAGGTAAGAATGTTTTTATTTTTTCATTCAGTAAGTACTTAAGGAATGTATGCTTTATATATGCAAGGCCACGGGGCTTGTTGGTATGCAGGCTATGGAATTAAGATGCTTCCTCTACCTTCAAAGTACTGACAGAATAATTCAGGATACTAAGCATCTACTCAAATTGTAACCCAAAATTTATTGGTTGAATAAGTATTTTTGTTGAGCTCCTATGTGGCAAGCACTGTTCTGGGGCCGAGTTAGATAGTACTGAACAAAAATGACATGGTTAATACCTTTGTGATGCTTACAACCTAGTGGGGGAAATAGTCAATTAAAAGTTATGCAGTCAAGTAAATAATTACATGTAGCAATGGAGCTATGAAGGAAATGAAGACTAGAGTCAAGAGACAGAGGAAAATAGTCAGTGGGAGGAAAATCCCTATTTAGATGAATTGGTCAAGGATGGCTTCTTTGAAGAGGTGCTATTTAAGTTGAGGCCGGAAAGACAACAGTGAGCAGCTGTGTAAATAGCAGTTGGAGAAGGAAAGGGAGGTTTGAGGACGCTGTCTCCCTTCATGCAGTGAATGTCAGATGAAGCACGTAGCTTGACAGTGTGACTGTACCAAGCAAGAAGAATCCCTAAGGGCAGAAGCATCATAGATGGAGTTGTCAGAATCATCAAATATATTTAAGTTCTTTTTTGCATTATACTTCAATCTGTAGTAAAAATAAATATGTACGTGTTTAATTATAGTGTGCTGTATTCATAGCTTTCAGTATATCTAGATGTAGTTTTTTTTTCTGAGTTCCCTAGAGACCAGAAACTGCGACCATAAAATTACACCCATGTGTGTTCATTAATTCAGCAATTTGCCACCTGCTACATGCTGGGCATTGTGCTAATATAAGCAATAGAAAGTTCGAAATAGATCTTGCTCTCAAAATGCTCACAGTCTGTTGGAATGTTAGAGATAGTCTGTTGTTAAAAACAAAAAGCATTAATCTTTTGGAAACTTCATGTTTAGATCTAGAGTCTACTAGAAATTGGTTCTTGCTTATAATGTGAGGTGTAGGGTTGAGTTCATTTTTTTCCCTATGGATGTTCAACTGATCCCACGCAGTTTATTGAAAAGGCTGTTCTTTCCCTACTGCTCTGCGTGGTAAACTTCATCATATATCCAGTGTCTATATGCGTGGATCTGTTTCTAGATTTTGTTTTATATTTGCTTCTAGATTTTATATTTTGTTTCATTAATCTATTTGTGTATCCTTGCATGAGTACCACATTGTCTTGAAAATGTAGTTTGATATCCAACAGAACAAGTCTTCCCCTCCTTGTTCCTCTTCAAGAGACTATTCTTAGCTCTTTGCATATCAATATTAAATTTTAGAATTAGCATGTCAAGTTCCATAAGATTCTGTTGGATTTTGATTGGGATAGCATTGAATCTGTAGATCAATTTGGGGAGAATTGTCATCTTAACAATATCAAGTCTTCCAGTCTGTGACCATGGCATTATCCCTTTGTTAATTTAATTCATCTTTAACTTTTCTCAATAATGTTTTATACTGTTCTGTGTAGAGTTTTGACACATCTTTGATTTGTTCCTGTGTGTTTCATTTTTTATGCTGTGAAAACTGGTGTTAAATATTGATGCTGAATATATGCATTACCTGTGACACATTGGTTCTCCTCCAAGCTATGTAGCCACCAGTAATTCAAGCACATATGTGCTAGGAAAGGCGTGTGCCAGAATGTTCGTAAGCATCGTTGTTCATAATCTAAATGTCAGTGAGAGAGTGGATAAATTGTGCGTGGTATGTCTGTGGAATGCAGTACTCTGCACAGTAATGAAAATATGAAGACTGTGCCGCATGCCACAGTGTGAACGCACATTACATAATTTAGAGTGAAAGAAGTCAAGCGGAGACCACTTTGTCTATGTATTCTAATTACATAAAATTCAAAAACAGGCAAAACCTAACCTGTGTTATTGCAAATGGAAATAGTGGTTACCTTTGAGGAAGAACAGGGATGGATAGTTTCTGGAATGGGGCAAATGGGAGGCTTCAGGCTACTGACAGTGTTTGTTTTTGTTTTTGTTTTTAACCTGGAAGTGGTTACATAATGTGTCCATTTTGTAATAATTTATCGAGCTGTAATGTTTATGAGTTTTCTATATACGTGTTATGTTTAATAAAAATTTTAAATCTTGCAAAATGGTTGGAAACCAACAAAGTACAATAAAACAAAGAAAAGCAGAATACAGAAAAGAAGGAAAAGCAAGCAGAACTACAGATTCACAATGTATTTGAAAAATAGAAAAATATACATGATAAAGTAAAATAAATAATGGAAATCTCATATTTATTCTAAGCTTTTCTACAAAGGGTGGTCTTGGTTCCACTTTCCATTTGCCCATCTGTTTCTTAACCACCTGTCTATTTTCCACATCTATCAATCTGCTGAAAAAATGTCTACCCTTCAATGTACCTCCTAATGGCCACATTCTTTGAATTATTTTCTTAGAATATACTTGAAGATGAACCAATCAAAGTAGAGAAGTGAAGTTCAGGGGGGTGGGGAGCTGTAGAGAAAAGAAAAAATGTAAGAAGGAAGGAACATTCAACAGAGTCAAATATTGTAAAGAACAAAAGCCTGAGAAATGAGAAAGATGCCAGCAATTGAACTCAGGACATTTTCACCCTGAAGATGTTTTGACTCCTTTTTTATGAATAACAAACATTTTAATTGATAGACTTTATTTTTTAGAACCTTTTTAGATTTACAACAAAATTTTAAAAATCGAGTAAAGAGAAAGTTCAGAGAATTTCCAAGCCATCAGTTTGCTCTATTTAGTAACATGTTAGTATGGTACATTTGTTCCAGTCAATGAGCCAATATTGATCCATTATTATGAACTAAAGCCCATCATTTATGCAGATTTCCTTGGTTTTTACCTAATGTCCTTTTTTTGTCCCATTCAAGATACCACATTACATTTAGTTGTCATGTCTCCTTAGGCTCCTCTTGGCTATGACAATTTCTCAGACTTTGCTTGTTTTTGAGGGCCTTGATGGTTTTGAGAAGCACTGGTTAGGTATATTGTGTATCTCTTTTGGAATTTGCCTGGTATTTTTCTCATGATTAGACTGTGGTTACAGGTTTTAGTGAGGAAGACCACAGATGTACTCAAAAGTAATGCCCAGCATTGTCACTAGTGGCAGATCATCTCAAAACGTTTTAGAATATATCATCTAATAGTTACACAACTTGTAGGGTGTCTTGAGTCCCTTAAAATTTGTTTGTAAAACTTTGAGTATGTCTGCCTTTTTTTCTGGGGCAAGATCTTCTAAGTTTCTTCAAATCCATGAAGTGTCTGCATGCACCCCAGCCCATTATAGAATCTCAGCTATACATGGTGCTTCTTGCTCTGAGTGCTTCTAAATTTGAAACCTGTAAGAGAAACCCAAATGTTAAAACAAAAATGCATTTTGATCACCTAGAAACCATTTTCCTCTCCTTTTTTTATGTAGACGTGAAATTTATAGCCTCAGTATTTTCTAAAGACACTCTTGAGGACTCAGGGCTAGCATGCGTGCGTGCACACACGCGCGCGCACACACACACACACACACACACACACAGTTCTCAAGCAGTATAGATTTTGACACTTAAATTTAGTAAAAACCTCAAACATTAGCACATTAAGTGACAAAGAAATGATTCCTGGCCATTTAAATCATCAGCATTTTTTGGTTTTATTAAAATATCTAAGGAAAAGTGGAATTGAAGAAATAAATTCAGTAATTTTCAATTTTCAAAATAAAAACACCACATTATCTAGGTCCTTTGTGGACTTTATTTTTTTTTAATTTAAGTATTGACTTATTGATAAGTGAATTGTTCCTATCAAAACATTGAAATTTCTAATAGGTACAATCTTTAACTATAACAGGTTCTTCTTGCAAAACGGAAACTGGATGGAAAATTTTATGCTGTCAAAGTGTTACAGAAAAAGATAGTTCTCAACAGAAAAGAGGTAAAATAAAATAGCTTTGTTTCTCCTAAACCTATTTTCTCAGTTAACAGAATTGTTTTCTGGTGTATAATACAAGCTGATTTTTTACCTTTTTTTTTTTTAACAGCAAAAACACATTATGGCTGAACGTAATGTGCTCTTGAAAAATGTGAAACATCCATTTTTGGTTGGATTACATTATTCTTTCCAAACAACTGAAAAGCTTTATTTTGTTCTGGATTTTATTAATGGAGGGGAGGTGAGTTATATAATTAGTTTTCTAGTATTGATAATGTTTAGAAAAAAAATAGAGTTCAAGTTTCTTTTATCAGTTTTGGAAGCAAAGCCCAGCATAAACAGCTATTTGTTAAGTAGCCGCAGTATTTAAAGCACTGGCTAATCAGCACAATGCAGAATGTGGAGAAGTGAGACATAAAGCTCTTTTCCTAAGCGGCTTATGGTGTAGGTGGGAAGGTTCATAAAAGAACCTTGATACGAAGCTACAGACTTCATGGGTAGTTTTGTCACTGAGCTATATAGCAAGAATATATACTGAAACATTAGAATGAAACTTGATTTGTAATTTTTGGTAATTATCGTTTCAGTAGTTGCATATAAATATTACTCTAGCCTGTCATTTTCCAAAATGTGCAAACTATTAATCATATGAGATGATCCTGTAATAAAGGGTTCTTTGGTGAAGCCAGTTTGGAAAATGTTTCCTATTATATCCCCTTGGTGATTAACAGTGTGCTTCGTGGTATTTACAATGTTTCAGCATGTTAAAGACTTTGAGAAATTATGCCTGAAAGCCTGGATTTATTTAAAAAAATTTTTTTTACCACACAGTCCCATTTTTTGTTTGAACCAAGTCTATTAATAATATTCCCCAAAACTCTGAATCAGAGGGATATTGAAATACATTTTGGGAAATGCTGCTGTTAAGATAATAATTCCAGTAGTAGTTAACATGTATTGAGCATCCTTATGTGCCCAGCACTCTGGCTCTTTATACATGTTATTTTATCTTCACAACAGTTGTGTTGCATAAGACAAAGAAACTGAGGTACAGAGAAGCCAAGTAACTTGATCAAGCCATGTGGGTTAGTAACTATGGAGCCAGGAATTGAGCTCAGTCTGATTCCAGGATCCAGGCAGCTGACCACGCCCTGTTCCTCTGCTTCTTAATCCTCATACTATTCTAATTTGTTTGATCTCTGACCTGTAAATGTCTCTCAAAATTATTTTAACTTAATGTTATCTTAATGTTACCTTAATGTTATCTTAATGTTATCTTTAACTTAATGTTAACTTAATGTTATCATATCTTTACAAAAGGATCTTCCATCCCTTAATCCCAGAGCAAAGAGAGAAGTGTATTTCAACCTTACTATAGTACACTTATCTGTAGAATAAAGGAACTACACAGAAGGCCAATTTCTATTCTGCGAACCTGAAAGATCAGACATACCTAGATCATTTTGGGGACGGTCATAAAAAGAATCATTATTCAACCTCTTACATCTATGGCAAATATGCCTTAAGACTCCCCAGAAGCGGGATTATGAATCCCCCATGCACCCTGATTCAGGAATGTGGATGACCCCACATTGTTCCCACCTTGAAGGTGTTGTTTTATTTGTATGTGGTGAGTGCTAACATATAACAAGAATTTATTGAGGGCCTGGCACTTTGTAATTATTTTACATGTGTTATATCAGTTTATCATCACAACTCTTTGAGATAAACACTCTTATACTTATTTTATAGGTAAGGAAATTAAGGCTCAGAGAGGTTAAGTAACTTTCTCAGTGTCACCATGCTCTAGTACTTGTCAGGCCCCGGATTTAACCTGTACATCCCAACTGCAAAGCCCATTCTTAAGTACCACCTATGTCTTTGAAATGTCGTGCAGAAATCTAACTGCAGGTGGGATACTGGCTGCACGTTTCCTGCTTGTCTGTGGTTTGTTAATGCTGTTTTAGGACTTTGCTTCTGCGCCCTTGTTACACAGTGACTACTCCTAAACTGGATGGCAAAGGTGGAAAGAAGTAGGCTTGTCTTCTAAAAGATAGAGTTGACTAAGATAATGGGGGAAGAAAAGAGAATATTAAGGTGCAGGGGTTGAATGGGGCAACAGGTAGAAGAGGAATAAAGATGAGAAAGGACAGAGGCAAGAGGAGTGTGATTTCATTGTGTTTCCTATTATTACTGTTATTTGCCCCCCAATGTTCATGTTTGCATTTCAACTATGACATGTGATATTTATTTTTGTATACTCCTTCAGATCTGTTTTGGAGTCAGGTAGAGTATAAACAAATAAGTTTTATGATACTGGGCATGTAAACAAGCCTTTCTGAGTCTCAGCTTCCTCATCAATTCGTACTTCAAAATAGGTGGGTGGATTGAATAATACAAGCATATAGACTTTAGCATAGTACCTTTGATTTAGTAAGCAGTGGTTGTCGCTTTTATTAGTGAATGATCAGATTTTCATTTGGGGTAATTTTCATCAGTAGTAGTGTATTAGACAGATGTGATCAGAAGGTCAATAAATAATTACAATAGAGTAATCTGCAGCTAATAAAAGCAGTGGTAATGGTTAAAAGGGAGGAGTATCCCATAAATAAATAAGATAAAAACAGAAGAATTTATTTATTGTTTGGATATAGGGACTAAGGGTAAAGGAGCAGTAGAGGTGAATCCCAGGTCAGCCCCATTTATCTACTCTGTCAGGATCTATTGTAACTGATCTTCACCATCACCTTTCAGAAGAGGCTAAGAAAAAATTGGGGACAGTCTTTGAAAATCAAAGAAGTTAAATGAATTACACACAAAAAGAGGAGAACTAGGGTTTGAACCCAAGGCTGATCAGCTAGCTTTTCAGTTTGAAAATCTATTTCCACTTTACCTTGCTGCCTCCCATGGCTTAGAGGGCTAGGTAGAAAGTGATATCATTAAATGAGACAATACAGCAGTGGCAGTAAGTCTGTAAGAGAAGACCAGGGGCTCTAGACAAATTAGACAAATTGAATTTGTTGGCTTGTTAAATATTCAAGAAAGAGCAGCAGGCAGCAGATTTTTGCAGTAGAAGCTCCAAGCAGAGGGCTGTCCACATGAGAGACATCAACATAGAGTGGTGGTTAAAATCATTGGAATGTATTAAGTTGCCTGGGAAGGTATCCAGAGAAAGAATAACAGTGGAGAAACCTAGGACACAATTTGTCAGTCCCTGCAGCATAAGGACCCAGAAAGGAGCGGAGATGGAACTGTCCAAGGTAGAAGAAAGCCCCCACTGAGAGACTGTTGTTTTAGAAGCCCAAAGACTTAGAGTAAGGACCTAGAGCAAACTTTGCCTAGGCAGGTAACCTGATGACTAGAGGACAGGTTGTGAGAAATACATTAAGAATTAGGGAGGAAGTGTAAGAAACGAACTGGAGAGTCCAGCTGCCAGTGAGCTCCAGCCAGTTGCTACCATATTGAATTTAGGCTTAATGGTGCAGAGCTCCCCCCACCCTTTTTTTTTTCCCCAGAAGAAACCAAAACTATGAATTTTAACCAAAAAAAAAAAAAATTTCCCAGTTTTTAAATGTTACCAATTATTTTAGATTTTTCTGAAAACATTCTTTGGTTCAAACAAATTGTATCTGTGGGTTAGATTTGATCTTCCAGCCACTAGTTTACGATTTCTAAATAGTGTTTGGTTTTTTCGAATGAAAGAACAGTCAAAAAAGGCCCAGTAAGATAATTACATGGCAGTATCAAAATCATTGGTCTCCATTAATAAGTTTTTCCAGGGAGGCTGCCTGGAGTGGTGCGAGGATACTGCCACACTGAGGATTGAGGGGTACATGGGAGATGAGCAAGCAGTAAGCACGGATAGGGAAAG